TCTCTGTCATCTGCACTAACTTGTTTCAATCGTGTTCGACCGCATTTCAACTGGCCCAGGTATTGTAATTACTTCTACTGTCATATTCATGATCCACATGCGTTCAGTTTATCTCATGCAGTCATGTTCATTAAGCAATAAAGTTATAGCTTATGCTAATATTCCTATGTTATTCTACAATTATTCTAACATGTGCCGTTGCCTTCAACCTTATTCTTCCAGGCCAAATATACGTATTTATCATCCTCATAAGAGTTCCATATGTATGTCCTTTATCAGGTTAGAAAAAAATTATTTATTGGTAAAAGGCACTGGTCCAAAGCGTTTCGTTCAATCAGAACTTCCTCAGGGACCTCTTAAGTTAAAACAAAATAATACAATACAGAAAAAATCCATACAATACAAAAAATTTCCGGGAATTTTTTTTTCTACTGCTACTTTTGTTCCTGCTCTACTTTGGTATCCGGATCTCTGAATCCAGTGGATCCATGCTTAACCCCCCTATAGAATTAGGGGTGGCACGTTGAATGCGCATTCATTGTCGACATCTTGTGAGTGCTTTTGATAGTGTGTCTTCTGTAACATGCATATTGTGGTCTTCACTATGTTTTGTTAATCTTTTATAGGTATAGACAGCGGTTTCCCCCTATCCTTTGTATACAACTATGTAACTATGTAACCTATCCTTCAGGCCCTCATTAGGCATTCTCCTTGAGTAACTGTAATTCCATTATTACCTACATTATCTTTATCTCACATTAAGCACTTTGGTCCACCTGCATCTATTTGGGTGGTTTCATTATCTCCTTCATAGGTCTCAGATTTAAACTATGTACATAGCTAAAGTTATAAGTAAATATGTTTATAACTGGTCTTGTTTCAGCTCCTAAGCCTTCACATGTGGCCTTACTAGGCCTTCATTACATTTCCATCATATGGCCCTCTGTGGGCGGCACTATGACATACCAACCCTTAATTTGGGTTTTGCATAAGTACCTTCCTGCTGCATGGGGTATATATGTTGTGATCCTTGTCTGCAGGTAGCACGGTCCTCTAGGGTAAACAACAGGCACAGTCCTTTGGTTTGCATATAATCCAGGCAGTTTTATTGTTAAACTCCACCACAGTTACAGCAGCAATTGAAAACAAAATGTAACAAAACCCTACAGACAAAAACCTAGCTCGGTCTGAGCACTAACTGACATCAAGTTCCCTCTCTCTCTAGGGTTTAATCTATAACAAAACAAAAAGTGGTTTCACCAACCTAGCGTCTTTTTCAGCTCTCAGCATTCCAGTGTTTTTGACAGTCTCCTGCTTCCCTTTCTACACTCCCAGTGCTCCAAGCCAGCCTTGACTGCTTTCCTTTTGCACTCCCAGTGCTCCAAAGCCAGCCTTGACTGCTTTCCTTTTGCACTCCCAGTGCTCCAAGCCAGCCTTGACTGCTTTCCTTTTGCTCTCCCAGTGCTCCAAAGCCAGCCTTGACTGCTTTCCTTTTGCACTCCCAGTGCTCCAAGCCAGCCTTGACTGCTTTCCTTTTGCACTCCCAGTGCTCAGTCTCCTTGACTCTCTTACTGGAGAGAACAGCCTCACTCCTACCTGCTTCCAGGGAGGAAGCCAGCAATCCCTCTTCACCTGCCTAGCAGGGAGGGGTATATTCCCACTGCTACTGCTGATTATCTGCAGCTGAGCAGTGGGTTGGAGAAAGCTCAAAAAAACTCTGGCCTGGACATTATTTCCCCCAGTTATGTATAAACTGAGGAGTGGAGCATTGGCCCACCCCGCTCTCCAAATGCTCCACCCCAGGGGCCCATAACTAAACGGTGGATTGTGTTGCCTACAACACATACTACACATACTCCCCCTGGGGTTAAATGTTATAGGCCTATCTGCTTTCACTTTATCACAATGTATATACTACTCCTTCTAACAACATTTCATTACATCACTTAGTCTCGCTAGGCCTAAACCAACCAACCTATACGACCCTAGCTCAGCTGGCGACACTCACTAGTAAAGTAATCCCTTATTCTAAGCATTGTGTTACTTTATTATTTCACAGTAATAACAAGTATTATCTATCAAGTCACCTACATCAGGACACTACATACTCTTTGGTGTTGGTGCTGTACTAGTCATCCTTTGGCTCTGGCCTTAGATGGCCTCCACTAATTTACTTCATTATTACCCTTCTAGCCTAACTGATCTTCCTACATTCCTATAGACCAGACCTTACAGAGGGATTTCACAATTCCTATACCATGATACGAGTATCCTTCATTTCTTCATTTCATATATATATTCCCCTTATACAGCTCTATTTCTGCATCCTGCCTCTCAGGACCTATTCTCCAGCTTCACTCTTCCTAAACATTTTCTTCTTACCACTCATATTGGGCCGTTTCGATCTTGCACAGTATTTGTAAGTAAGAGGTGTTTAGTCACCTCCTTCATGACACTATAAAATATCTTTAGTGTCGGTTACATACTCATCATCATTTGGCATCGGTCTTATAGATGGCCTCTCACCACATTCCACTTGCCAGTCTTCAGTCTGACTACTCTTCCTACCTTTACATTTGCACAGGCCTACACCAGGACATCCCTAATGACATTCTAAACATACCTTGGTTTACCCTTAAATAAATTGTTCACTCCATTCATCCATTACCCCTTTTCAGCATTATTTCTTCTTCCTGCAGCTCATTACTTACTTTGGGCAATCTCTGCCTTCCGCTACGGTACCTCTGCACACAGCCATCACTAACCCTTCACTCCATACGTTACACATGGTCCTCTGGGGCAACTGCTACAACTGTTACCGCACATCAATAAGGCACTTAAATATGTTTTAAATAATAAATACAAAGCTTTCATTCTACGTTTCAATATTACACATGGCCTTGGTAGGCCCACGTACATTCTTCCCATACAGCCCTCTCTCAGAACACTCCCAAGAACCTTGGACTTCTCACATAGCTCACGTAAATTCTCAGGCTGTTCTTTCACATATGTAATTCAGTTAGTGATTCTATTCTTGCTAAGGTTCATGTCATATCGAGTTACGTGCATATTCTTATGTAAAGTCTCTCCATGTCTACTTCTTAGAGGTCGTTGCATATCTAGGGCCGATTGTCAGACATGGTCAACTGGGTCTTTATTATGCTGTTCCATTTCCTTCAGTTCGGTTGAAACCTTTTGTCACTAGAGTCATTCTGGGCTCATGGAACTTACTTACTTTATCTACTTTTCTGGCACAGGCTGTTGCTAAACAATTGTTCAATGTTAGTAATGTAGTTCTGAATTGTGAACACTAAGTTCTCTGGTGTAACTCTCGGGTTTTGGTTAATTTAATCACTGTACAAGTATTTTTTTGCCCTTTATTACATATTCACTTATTACTTTCATTTTTCATCCAGGTATATGTCTATGTAGTCCTGTCACTCGTGAGTTATTTTGTATTTCCCATTTTCTATCACCATGCAAGTGATTTGCTTTTAGGATAATACCTCCCTACGTACAGCAACCACTTGCTCTACAGAATGCTATAATTAGCTTGGTCTGGCTGTTAGGGTATCCTAGGAAGCCATAGGTAGTTTTTGGCCTCTTGTGCCATTACATAGCTGTCCAGCTAGGCCAACTCTGCAAAGGTATTTCCCCCTCTGGCCAAATCATAGTTAATGCCTCGCATCTCCGCCCTCTTGGCAAAACAGTTAGGGCCTCATCAGTCACGGCCAACTTATTATATATCTGTTCAGTTCTCACTGAGAGGCCAACACCCTGCCACAACGCTCAGTGGAAAACCTACCCCACGGGCCAAATCATAGGTAGAGCCTCTCATCGCCACTTGGCAACTAGTTAGGTTCCCAAGTCACCAATTTAGCTTAATCATTTTGTAATTTGGCTTAACAAGGGTCAGCCAGTACCCGGGTGTTATACAGTATCTCCCATTAACAAATTGTTTATCTTTCAGGTACGGTTATAATGTTAATAAATATTAAAGTATTAGTTATGTAATGTCAACACATATTAAGTGGTAAACCAATAAACTTTTGCCCTCTTTTTACAGGCCTACTCGAACGTCAGTTCCCGCACACCACATCTGACTTATGCCAACACTACTATAACTCGGCTCATTGTCTCCGATCACAAATATATATATGTATATGTGCATGTATGTGTGTATGTGTGTATGTATGTATGTATGTATGTATGTGTGTATATATATATATATATATATATATATATATACACATACACACACATATATAATTTTTACAACTATAGTTTCCCTTCAAGTGCCCTTGATAAAATATTCTTCATGAAGGGCATAGAAATAAGTCCCCTTATTGCACAACCCTGTGAGCTACACTTTTTTCCCTTTTTCTTTTTTGCTACTTAGTTATAGAGCGGAAAGGTTTGCATAGCTTTCTTTTTACCAGTTTTAAAAAAAAACAAATGCTGAGACAATTTTAATGGACATGAATAAATAAATCTGTCATTAAGTTTAAATGCAGTCTTACAATATTGTTGTTGATGTTTACTTAAAGAAGGGATAGACTATTACAATGATGGCCTCATAAGTGGTAGAAGTATATATTCCTTTTTGTATCAAAAGAATTAGGAGCATAACACATCATTTTTAGGATACTTTACCTAGGCAGTGTTATACATTTAAAGGAATACTTCAAGCACCATAACCACTACAGCCCACAGTAGTGGTTATAGTACCAGGAGTTCCCTGGCAAGTAGTCAAACTGTTTAAAGGAACACTACAGCCCTGGTGCCCCTATACAGTTAGGTTGCCCCCCTGTAATCTGAAAATAAAAAGGAAAGAATGCATTTTAAAACATATTACTCACCCTTCTCCAGCACCGAGTCTCCCTTGGTGCTGCCGTGACATCCTTATTCAGTGGCCAATCCAATACGCCAATCCAATTCGCCTAAATTTCTGCGATAAAGAATCATTGAATACATGATTCTCTATGGCCGACTGTGACGACACTGTGCATGTGTGTAAGGTGGTTTGCAGACATTATCTCAGAGATTGCATCTCAAAATGATAAACTTACCCTCTTTCTCTTAAAACTATCTGATTTGGAAGCTAAGAGTGAAAGCTCTCGCTCTACTCTGTGGAAATCACTCAATAAATTAAGGTTCCTCCTTTGTGCAGTCTGCTGTCTATGGCATATGTCTTGCAGCTTGTCGTAAAGCTCTGCCTTTCTCTCCCTGCGCAAAGATGAAATAAAAAGAAAACAGACGAAATAAACATAGCAAGTAAAAGTGTGTAATTTTTTATTTAATTTATTTCTTTTCTAATACAGGTTGATGCCTATGAAAAATAACTTTTTATCAGATAACTTTCTGCTTTAAAGGGATACTCCAGGCACCCAGACCACTTCTGCCGATTGGAGTGGTCTGGGTGCCAACTCCCACTACCCTTAACCCTGCAACTGTAATTATTGCAGTTTTCATAAACTGCAATAATTAAATTGCAGGGTTAACTCCTCCTCTAGTGGCTGTCTACTAGACCGCCACTAGAGGGCACTTCCTGGTTTCTAGCACAGGTTTTCTATGTGAGGACCTCCAGCGTCGCTCAATTCCCCATAGGAAAGCATTAAAAGCATTTTTAATGCTTTCCTATGGAGAGGTTTAATGCGCGCGCCCGTGGGCGGGGGAGGAGCGTGTGTGGACCCGAAACCACAGCTGAGGGACATTGGCGGGGGTCTCAGGTAAGTCACTGAAGGGGTTTTCACCCCTTCAGCAACATGGGATGGGTGGTGGGAGGGAGAGGGGACCTGCAGTGCCAGGAAAATGATTTGTTTTCCTGTCACTGGAGTGTCCCTTTAAGTTCCAGTAGATCAGACAGTGTTATGAAGCTTTAAATAAACAAATTGCACTACCCACCACACCATTGTTAGTGGATAAGGGATTCATACTGGTGAGTGTGCAGGAAGAAGGAAAAAACAGTCTGCACAGCTCAGAATCTCACCACAGCCTCTGGTGGTCCCATAACACTAAGGGAAAAAAATAATGCTTGCAATAAATATTTATTGTGAGCAGTAATTTAATAGTGGCAATAAAAAAATATTGTTGTCATATCATATATCACTTGTAATAGAATTGGACCCACAGTGTTCTCCTGAACATCCTACATGCAGTATATGTATTTATTTTAAAACAATTTCTGCACATTATTAATTTTTCCCCCTTTTTTATTTTTATCAGTACAATTAAGAGCTGAAGCTAGACTAGAAATGGACCAACTAACAAAAAAAAGAAACATGAACACAATAGGACAGACAGGCCTCTGAACCCATTGTACAGCGCTATGGAATCTGATGGCGCTATATAAATAATAAAATAATAATAAACCCAAGAGTAGTTACATAGTTATACAGACTGACAAAAAGGACTTGTGTTTTTCTCACGTTCAGCCTTTCTCACATCTGTTTCTGCTCTTGAGCTGTTGAACCAAATGTAGCCCCCCTCCCAATACACACACACAGTTTAAAGCATTTTCCAGTCTGGCAACAAGCGATGAAAACAAATTTTTCTTGACCCCAGAATGGCAGTTAAATAATACTACCAAATATTAAATATTACATTGCTGAATATTTTTTTGAGAGAATTCATCCAGTCGTTGTTTAAAAGTCTATACTGATTCTGATAAAACCAACTCTTCAGGCAGAGAATTCCACATCTTTATTGTTTTTACTATAAACAACCCATTCCTTTATTATTATACCTCCTCTGAGGCACCATTTTATTTTTAAAACTAAACAGATTTAAATGTTTTAGCCTTTCTTTAGAACTATAATCTTCCATTCCCCTTATTAAATTAGTAGCCTGCCTCTGCACTTTTTCTAGTGTTGTAATACCCTTCTTTAGAAAAGGTGCCCAAAAATGCATGTTATATTGAAGGTGTTTCAAGCTTGAGAAAGGCTCATAGGTGAACCGAAACTGTGTCGTTCACCACCGATAAAGTTTGCATATTGGATATATCCTGTGTGTGTCTGGACATCTATTTTCTACATTGGTAGATGTGTGGCAGGTGAAAAAAGAAATTGTCGGCTCAGTAAGAATATACAGCAGGTTGACATTCAGTCCTGCAAGAAGACCTGTTTTTCATACCGACAGGAGACTACTCTGATACTACTCCTGGCTGAGTCACACTCCAAATTTTAAAATTTACCCATGTGAAATTTTACTCTCACGTCTTTTCACTCGTACTTTATAATAAGCATTACAAAACAACGATACACATATACAAAAAGTGACAAAGATTTATATTTTCATTCATAAAAGTTTTTAAAACCACAATATTTCATGCCACAAATCCTCCTTTCCGTGTAAGCAGCTGCCATGGCAATGCCACTTACACAGAACTGTGTCCAATAAAACTGTGTAGTTTAATCTAAAGTTATAATGACATGTAGATACAGGGGAACAAGTCAGAAGAAAGCCTTATGCACTGTAAGGGTATGTAAAGGGTACTTACATAGTAATTTAGGCTGATAAAACACTCATGTCCATCAAATTCAACCTTTCACAAATCTCTGTTTTTGCTGCTGATTCAAAAGAAGGCCAAAAAACAAACAAACACAATTTAAAGTTATGTTAAATAATTACAAAGTTTTTAACTAGGAAAGTTATATTCAGATCACTTTGGTTTTCAAGTACATCCTGGGAAGGTTACCTTAGCCCAAGATCCAAGGGTTGTTACTATTACCCAATTTAATGGTACTCATTTTATCTACCTTGGAAGGATGAAGGGCTGAGTCAATGCTACCAATATTTGAATCTGCAACCCAAGGGCTGAACAGAGTCTACTGATCATGCATTAGCCCACTGAGGTATCTCCCCAGACTAAAAAAGATCAAACATAAAAAAAAGTCCTTCTTGATCCAAAAATGACAGTTGTGTTTCTCCTTGGATTAGAAAGCTGTTACCCACAATATAAACTATTATAAAAAAAATAAAAAAAAAATAAAAAAATATTCTATTTTGAATCTGATAGCAATGCATCTTTAGGCATACAATTCAGGATCCATTGCATATGTTATTACAGCTAAGCTTTTGCTTAGCTTATGCAATTTTATCTCAGATAACTCACACTCTTAATTTTATGGTGTATACTTACCTAATCAGCCTCTGTCTCTTTGTTTCCTGTTGTGCATATTGCTTTCTGAGCTGTATGAGTATCAGGGGGGTGACAGGTCTTCTATCCATGTACCTACTCCCTCTACTTTTACTAAAAGAAATTGATTTTTCTTTTGCGCTTCTTCAAAAACATTAAGATACTTTTCACTCCACCTTTTTTTTCCCTGTTACAGGCTGTCTACATATATATAAATCAGATCTGAGGAATTTGCTTTAGCCATGGAGGGATTTAAAGGATTTTATTAAATCATGTCACCTTCCTCCTGCTTCTGTCACCACGAGGACAAACTCAGCAAGTAACTCTTTACTTGCCAAATAAAATGTTTTCTCAGACCACGAATTAGATTATATGTTGTTTCCCTTATTATTTAAAAAGACATTTACAAAATTAAAAGTGATCACAATATTGATAACCTTGCATTGAAGCTTTTTTTTTTTTTTAAAGACCTTAGGTTTCTGACAAATTTTTACTTTACTTTATATTCATGTTAATACTGCACGCAGCAAATATATAATAAATTTATGTTTTCATGCACGACATTTAACCTTTCACAAGTACATAGCTTAAATTATGCATCAAGTGATGTAATCAAACATTTTCTTCCTGTTTTAATACAGAAAAAGAAATGAGCTTAGTAATTTTATATATATATAAACCACTCAACAACCCCAAGTAAAGAGAGGCAGAAAATATGTGGTTTAACACACCAACACATACATATTTATATACACACCTCCTAACATTTAAAATGAAAAAAGAGGGACACTTTAAATTTAGGAGTGTGAATGTTCGTGTTGCCACGAGTGAGGCTGCACTGAGAAATTTTAGGGGGCTTACTAACAGATTTATGCACTTAAAATGTTATTTATAACAAGAACAATGTATCTTATTTACACAGATTGATTATTAAAGGACCACTCTAGGCATCCAGACCACTTCAGCTTAATGAAGTGGTCTGGGTGCCAGGTCCAGCTAGGGTTAACCCATTTTTTTATAAACATAGCAGTTTCAGAGAAACTGCTATGTTTATAAATGGGTTAATCCAGCCCTCAAATCCTCTAGTGGCTGTCTCATTGACAGCCGCTAGAGGCACTTGCGTGATTCTCACTGTGAAAGGAAGGAGAGGAGGAGAGCTCCCCGCACGGCACTGGAATAAAGGTAAGTTTAACCCCTTTCCTCTCCCCAGAGCCGGGCGGGAGGGGGATCGTGAGGGTGGGGGCACCCTCAGGGCACTATAGTAGTCCTTTAAAGATTATTTTTAAGTATATGTTGTGGGAAGACTAGTATGGATAGGTGAACTTGTTAAACACAAATATACATAATAACTGCAATAGTACTAATTAGTAGAACAATTACTCACATTCACCAGGATATTTCACTTATTTTTAAATTAAATTAGGCTCCACCTAGAGTCAAATTCAGATGGATGGATTCAAAGTCCAGAGTGCTAACCATTACACCATTGAACCGCTGTATATGAACTTAGATTGATGGATTCAAAGTCCAAACTGCTAACCATTACACCATTGATCCACTGTATGTTAGTTTGGTTTCCTTGAAGAACACTGAACACTGAATATATACATGACAGAAAGTGGTAAGGGTGGCACCAGGGACCCCCACCTCCAGAATGCACAGCCCATTTTGTGGTTTTATTGTTAGGTCAAAAACACCAAACATTAAATGTGCAATGGGGAGTGCTTATGCTGACACCATGGACCCCTTCCCAAAATGAACATCCCATAGCATGGCATAATTCAACATGCTTTTGATGATTGGTTTTAGTTCACTTCTGCATTTCAGCTAAACACAAACATTCAAGAAAAATGTGGATCTTCATTCCATCTCTAGTTGATAAAGTAAACAACAATTGAAAAATAATTGTTGAAGAAGTCAAAGTACATTGGAGGGGAGGAGATCTTGAGAAAGCTCTTGGTAGAACCGAAGCCAAATGGATTTTCCAACTCAACAGCCGGGAACCTCTAGGCTTGAATATTGACTTTGAGCTCAATGCTTTTCTTTAACATGATTGCTCCCTGAGTCTGGTACCTCCTCTCCTAAAAATATTTTATATAATTTTTTTTTTTGGGGGGGGTTTCAAGTGGTCAATAATAATAATGATGATCATATCTACCATATACAGCAATTACCACTGCAACTATTATTAACAGCTATACTCATATCTTTTGGACTATCCAATTAATAGTTTAATAAAACTGCCATATTTTATTTGATAAACTATCAGTTTTATCTGTACATAGACTTGTAGTATAATTTGATATGTTTTAGTAGTCTGTCATTTATTCCCGTGTGATTATGGATTTTTTATAGGATATCCTTCCAATATATTTTATACATTTTTTGACTTGCTTAAATCCTGATATAAAGGTTTCAAATCAGATTATTTAAGTGGCTTTTAGTTTTCAAGTGTCCAGCATAATGCTTTTCAGACCTACTTTAATTATTCAACCACTTACAATTTAAGTATCTTTAATGGAAGTATTTTTTTGACTGTAACTATCATTACGATTACTAACAGCTATATTCATATCTTTCAGACAATATAAACAGCAGTTCAAGAAGACGGCAAAATTGTAATAGATAAACTAGAAGTTTTACTATTATGTACTGTATGTGTTTCAGATGTTTATTATATACTTCTCTGTCATCATTGATTTTTTTTATATGATTTTCTGTATTTTAAATTGCTCAAATTTTGATATATGGGGTTTTAGTCAGGAAGCTAATATGGCTTCTCTCTTACAAGTGTCTACAGGTATACTGTATTTTCATGTTCAATGTATGTAGTAATTCTCAACAGTATATTGCTATGTCAAAGCACCTCTTTGAAAATGTACCTACAGAGTTTGTGAATAGAGTGGTAGCATTATGTTCAAAGAAATCATTTTGTGTTCATATTTTATATTTATTTTTTTTTATTTAATTTTTTTTATATTTTTTTTTTATTTTTTATACTTGTAATAATTTACTCAATTTATATTTTAATTAATTTTATGTTAAGGATAAAAATCAAGGATCATGAAATATTTAGAATACATGTATCAATTAGGTATATTTTACCCAGTACTTTCTCTGATTCTATACTTGCGCACAAGTAAACTAAAGGGTTAAACATTGACTAACACAGACAAGACCAGAGAGTTTAAAACAGAACGAAGAAACGTAGATGCCATCCTCTGATGAAGTGATCCTACGATCACGAAATGCGTAAGGCGGCATCCTGTATCGGTTCCCGAGAGTCAGCAAACTGGAACGCATCCAGAGCCGCAGTGGAACTCACGCGGCTGACATCCAGTGTTAATCCAGCACGAGGAGGTCCAGACTCACTCCTATCCGGCCAGCAAGAGAGTGATACGAACATCCCTGGACCCTCAGTCTGCAAACCTGGTATTCTCTGCTGTCTCATTTGGGATATTTTAATTTATTTGTCTTTTATATATATATATGTGATGTGTTGACAGTTTTTATGTACTACTAAATCTTACAAAATAGTAATCTGTCTGTTACACTATATAATTGACATACAAATAAGGATTTTAACCCCTTGTGGGATACATACAATTATATTCTAATTTGTTGTATCAAGTGTACAATGTGTATCGGTTCTTTCACTTTTTAAGTTATAGAACCGCTACTAGATCAGTATTTCAGCAATCTTGGATTTTCCCTACCTTATACTATGGGAGGTAATGATCTGACCAGCTGATACATTTATATCAAAAGGTTAATTGAGTATATCTTTATCATTTTTACTCAACCTTTATTTCCATTTCCACTGAGTCCTGTACTTACTATTAATTTATTTCAATAGACATCCAGAATTGAAAAATAATGCCTGCTTTAGCAGCTCTGAACACCAGATGACATTAGGCATGCTCTTATTTTGCTTTCAAACTGAACTCGATATGTCGTATTCCTCTATTCACAATATGCAGATAATGCCTATGTGAATCCACATGATGAGACATTAATGTTTTCTCCTTCAAGGATGACTTTCCAACTATCCAGCCCACAGTGAGTATGTTAGCGGGAGTCTCAAAGTCTCAAAGTAAAACTTAAGGAATCTGCTATTGGTTTGCAATGTACAGAACTACAGAAGAAGACATGCTTGGGGTATTGTTCATTCAGCTTTTTAAATTGCGAGCAATCTTATTAAATAGTATATCAATAAATGTTTCTATATCATAGGATGAAGAATTACAGTTTCCATAAAGAAGCAAGTGATTATATTTCTGAATGTATTAAGTTTAACTTTTGACACTTAAATTGTTTCCATGTTTTTTTCAATATAAAAAAGGGAAATTAAGAGAAATTTTCAATTTTGGCTGACTGTTGCTCATGCTTTCATGGAAGAACATTATGATTTAAGGACTTCTAAAATGTTTGACATGAACTATTTTTCACGCAGACCAATTTACACATTAGCGTCTTAAGATTAAAGCTATCTAAAGAAAAAAACGCCACCGAGATTCGAACACGGATCGCTGGATTCAAAGTCCAGAGTGCTAACCATTACACCATGAAACCACTGCTGGTGACTTGATTATTTTCATTGGCTCCGAACACTGGTGTATGCCTTATTCCTCTAATCACAGTAGGTCAATAATGTCTACAAACATTCAAGAAAAATGTGGATCTTCATTCCATCTCTACTTGATAAAGTAAACAACAATTGAAAAATAATGTCTGCTTTAGCAGCTCTGAACACCAGATTACGTTAGACATGCTCTTATTTTGCTTTCAAACTGATGTCGATATGTCGTATTCCTCTATTCACAATATGCAGATAATGCCTATGTGAATCCACATGATGAGACGTTCATGTTTTCTCCTTCAAGGATGACTCTCCAACCATCCAGCCCACAGTGAGTATGTTAGCAGGAGTCTCAAAGTCTTCCTCGATAGAATAAAAAAAAAATTTAAATCTGTGAGGAGCATGGTCAAATGGTCAACTTACGTAGCCCATATAGCAGAAATGCCTCTTTTAAAAGATAACCTAGCATTTTGAAGAATCAGGCTCAAGACTCATACCTTACCACTAAACTAGCTTTTACATTCTCTTTAAACGAATCGGACGTTTATTTGACACTTTTGATTCTATGTCGAAGGAAAGTAAAACTTAAAGGGACAC